TAAATAAACTTTTTAATATGGGTACACATAAAAAAAGAAAAAATATTATACTAAAAAATAAATACACATTTCTATAATTTCCACACTCCTCTTCAAATTCAAGATAAGTTAAAAGAGAGCAACTTGAGTTTGGACAACTGACGGCTTGAGGAGTTGCAAATTAGCTATCATTAGAAACCGATGCCTCAAACAGAGCAGTCTCGCATAACATCAAATCAACAGGCCTCCGGAACATATAGAATTGAGTAAAAAAAAAAAACTCGATTGTCACAAAGAATGAAGTAACATAAAAGTCTATCATCCAATATGATTGAATAACAAAAAACTCAATCATTAAACATGATCGAGTAACAGAAAACTTGAATATCATCCAGTATGGAGAAATAAACAAGATGCACTTAGAAAAGCCAACAGAATTAGTGGTAGATCAACAAACATAGTTGGACTTTAGATTCAGAATTGAGAACAGTAAGATCCAAAACAAATCAAGAGTCGAAACACAACTCGGCAGAGAGATATATCAAAGAGTCGAACCACGACTCGATGATTGTTTTGCAGATGGTGCAGATCAACCGTTTTCAGAGGTGGATTTAAAGGCTGGTTTCAGATCCGGCTCACCAAGGGTCTGGCATCAGAGGGGAGACTGGTCGTAAAGGACCTTGGAAACCTTTTGGATGCAATAGCAACAGTATATACTTGAAGCAAATATGAAGGGTCGAAATACGAATTGATAGTAGGGCACATGAGCAATCAAAAAACATATGGGTCGTCTTGATTCTGCAGAGTTTTTAGAAACAACAAGACGTAATAGTATGATTTTTTTTAGAACCAACAGCAATCGTCTTGATTCTGCAGAGTTTTTAGAAACAACAGGACGTTATAGTATGAAGTTTTTTTTAAAAAACAACAGTAGGCAGCAGCACCAGAGAAATGACAAATTCGATTTCCAAAAGAGAAGAACGCAGTAAGGAGTGTTCGAGGAGACGAGTCATGTTTCTAATGGTGTAAAAGAACAATGTATCAAGGAGGGTTTATAAAATCAAAAGAGATAGAAAACGAGGATGCAAAAGAAGATATGAAGAGGCTAGAGGGAGGTACGAACCTACCACAAGTAATTAAAAAAAAGGTCGAACTCTAACTCAGCAAGAAACGCATGAATCAGGACACTATGCCAAGCAATTTGGGGTTCTCTCTAGACCGCTATGAAAATGGATGCGGATAACCAGATCTTGTTTGGATAAAGATATCCAAATATTACTTTAATAGCAGTTGCAGAAGCAGCCATGACAGAAGCCACAAAGGCCTCGATCTCTTCATCTTTCTCAATCCTCTCTTGTTCCAAGGAATACAACAGTACAAATACGGGACAGAAGCATAGCATAGACTCGAAATCTGTCGGGCTTGGCATGCGCAGGTTCGAATCCTGCCATCGACACCATGATAAGCCCTATAAAACACATCATGAACACCTTCGCAATAGGTAACATGGCAAGCTTCATGTTTTCTAACACATCCTAACTACTTCTCTGAAACCTCCATCACTTTCTACAAATTAAAATATTACCTGGGCAACCTTTTTGTGCTTCCTCTAGAGCATAAAACTTATATGCTTCCTCTTATCCAGCCCTCCATTCTGAATGTAGGGTTAAGATTGTCCCAATCACAACGTCATGTCTTTATGCTATTTTATTTTTTATTTTTTTTCTATAAACTATTTTGATACCAAATTTTGTACGTCCAATCCTCTATTAACTCGCACCAACTAAAAATATAAAAAAATATTTCTAATAAAATAAAATGGCTAAAATACCTGAAAGTTTTAAAAGGCATTTTGATCATTATATTTTATCTAATATTTTTTTATAAATGTGCCCCAATGAGAAGATGGCAAGTACTAAATTTTATATTCATATAAATTGTATAAAAATAAAATACTTACCGACATCGGATCTAAGATCAAACGGTGAGTGACTCTCTTGATCAAAATTGGACGGCTAGATGTTAGGAGAAGCATAGACCTTCTATGCTGTATGAGAAGTATAGAAACCTTTCCCATATTTCCTTACGACCCTAATTTCAGTAGAAAATAGCCAATAATTTCCCTTCTCAAGGGATTATCCCAAAATTCATGAATCCTCCGATGAATTTTTTCTCCGTAACATCCAAAAACCTAAATTTCCGAACTTAGTGAAACTGGAATAAATAATAAATTCAGGAAATCAGTTGAGCCACCAAATCCCTTGAAAAAGAAAACCCATAGTCACAAAAGTCAAAGAATGCACACTCTCTCTCTCCATCTCCCTCTCCCNNNNCCTCTCTCTCTCTACTACTACTACTACTACGTACGTACGTACGTACGTACGTACGTAACGTAACGTAACGTAACGTAACGTAACGTA